TTACAAGCTTTCAAGAGGGAACCTAGATCCAGAGGGCCTGGAGGAAGGTAGAATCTCCAGTGAGTAGTATTCAATCTGTCTAGGTGGAGCTGATGCAATGAAATGCCGATGGGTCTCTGGTGATACAATAGTGAATAATTGTTAACAGGACTGATTGAGAGGGTTGGAAATATAAAGGTAGACATTTTATAGCAAGGAGGGGAGTGACTAACTTTTCAGTCTGGGAGCGGAGGTCCCTAGGACCGTCAAGGGAGAAGAGCAGAGAGCGGGACCCTACCCAGAGAAGCAGTGATGCCTGAAATGGAGCCAGAGATGATGACGTGGAGCGATGGAGTAGCTGGAGACTTTAGATCCAGAGAGGGAGAAGGACTGTGTGCTGAAGACCTGGGGGGGGGTACGGGGGAGGGAATGCTGGGTATACCCTTTGGTTGGTTGATGATGCATGGAGGGGATTGTAACCATGGCAATGAAACGATATACAATAGAATGAATGTAAAACTAATGTTCTCCCATGTAAACTATCACATAATTCACAATAAAACATTTAAGAAAAACAAACAAAAAAACCCTATAGAGAGTCACTATGAGTTGGAATTGACTCAGTGGCAGTGGGTTTGTTGTTTTCTCTCCTAAGTAGGATAAGCACGTGACTATAAGGTCAGTTTGAACTGTAAGACCTGCGGTTTAAACTTACCAGCTGCTCCTTGGAAACCCTATACACAGCTGTTATGAATCAGAACCGACTGGATCGACAGCACTTAACAACACAATAACATCTACAGAGTCCGTGGGTGGCACAAACAGTTAAGCACTGGGTCAAAGCAGTTAAGCCAAAAGGTTGGCTGTAGGAACACACCCAGAAGTACCTCAGAAGACGGGCCTGCCGATCTGTCTCTGAGAATTACGGACCTGAAAATTCTACGCAATGCAACTCTACTCCACAAAACACAGGTGTGTTAGGTGTGTCACAAGTCAGAACTGACTTGATAGCAGCTAATAACAATGTCTACAGAGCCCAGGCTGTCTACAACCAACCCTCCTGCCTCCAAAACTGCTTCAGTCCAGAGAAACATCTGGGTAAAAAACACCCTTATGACCTTTATGTAGACAAGGGGTGGGGAACATCCGGCCCACAGGATGTATGTTGTTGTTGATAAGTGCCTCCGAGAACTTTCTAACACACAGCAACCCTATACAGGGTTTCCAAGGAACGGCTGGTGAGCTTGAACCGTCGACCTTGCAGTTCAAACTGATTTTGTAGTCCAGCACTTACTCACAGCGTCACACCAGGACTCCACAGGACGTCTAAGGT